CTCCATGCGAGCAGGAAGGCTGTTTTCCCACAGCTAGTACAATGCCTGGCACAATGTCTACTGAATGAATTAAAGAATGAAGTTCACAGTTTGGCTCCACATAAGGAACTTCACATCTCCGACCTCAAACACCCATTCTTTATGGAGATAACTACCTCCCTGGGTCAGAGGGAAGGTGGGAAAGATACAAAGAATGATTGAAATCACATACAAGAAGAATTCACGTGGCTGACAACATCCATAATGCCCTGATCTCCTCAAGGCTTCAGAGTTCTCTTTAGGCACTCCTTTGCATTTCCTCACTTGATCTTCATAACAACTCATGAGGCAAGAAGAGCAAGGATTATTTTCTTCCTTTGATAGTTAGGGAAACAGGCCCATGGAGGAGAAGGGTCACTCCAGCTCACATAACTAGAGGGCAGAGCCAGGACTGAAACCCAGGACTCCAGAGTCCTAGGTCAGCTCAGTCCTTCTGCAGACACCTCGATTCTTCCCTTGACCAGCACCAGACCCGAGAGTCCCTGAAGTGGGCCCCAAACAGTAGTGGAAGGCCCTCTCCCACTCATCTCTTCCCACAGGCCTCCAGCGGTTGCTTGGCAACCAGCACCTAGCAGTAAATGGCCTCTAGCCAGGTCTGTTGCTGTGGAGTTACCAAGTCTCTCTCCCTTCACACCTGTGCATGCTCTCACTCTCTATTAATGAGATTTCTCCCCTACCCCCACCTCCCCAGTAAGATTCTCTTCTCTGATCCACAATAATTAACCTCTCATGGAACAGAGGGGGCTCTCAGGGACCTATGTAGCCAAGGACCCCAGGGAGCAAAGCACTACCAATACCTTCATCACCTAACACCCTTCAGAGATGAGAGAAACTCCGTTTGTGAATGGTCCTGCTCAGCAATGCTCAGAACCTCCTCTTGTTCCCTCTCTCCTCCTTCCACGCCTACAATGGCTTTCTGAAATCCCAAGAGATCAAACTGGCTGGAGAAATTTAATTGAACACTTCAGACAGCGCCTGTCCTGTTCCAGCACTCCTGGAACCACAGGTGGAAAACCTGGGAAGGGACCCAGTCAGCCTTTGCGTATGGATTAGGAGCAGAGAAGAAAAGGAACCTAACATTTATTGTGTTCCTAATACATGCCAGGCACAATACTGTGTTATCGCATGTAGCCCCCCATCGACAAATCTGCAAACCCTCATTTCCATCCCTTAGGTCATTTTGTCACTGTCTTACTATTATGTTCCAAATGCTGTATTCTCCCAAAATTCATACATTGAAGTCCTAACCCCGAATGTGGCTATATTTGGAGATGGGGATTCTAAGTTAGAGATTAAGGTTAATTGAGGCCATAAGAGTGGGGTCCTGATCTGATAGGATTAGTGTCCTTATAAGAAGAGATACCAGAGAGCCCACTCACTCTCCATATATAAGCACCAAGGAAGGGCCATGTGAGCACACCGCTAGAAGGCGGCCACCTGCAACCCTAGGGGAGACCTCTCCCCAGACATCAACCTAGTTGGCACCCTGATCTTGGACTTCCCGTTTCTCGAACTGTGAGAAAATAAATTACTGTTGTTTAAGCTACTGAGTCTGTGGTATTTTGTTACCACAGCCCAAGCAGACTTAATTTAGGCCCTTTGTAACTTACCCAAACCACTGGCTTCTTTGCCTTGCTTCCACCTATCCTCCAAACCGAAGCAAGAGATTTTTCTAAAATGCAAATCTGACCTTGATAAAACCCTTCTATAGCTCCCCACTGTCTGGCAATGGTCTCCAAATTTAAGCCTCTGTAAGTAAGGCCATGTGAGCACATAACCACAATATTTGTATATTTACTTAGATCATATGTACATATATATCTACTTCTGTACACAAAAGATGTTAAAATACATAAAAATGATATAACTAATATTTCAATGTTCACATTTTAATGCATTTATGAACAGTACAGACTTTTTTTGCTATAGGAAAGCACACATGCACAAAATCTCTTTGCCAATTTTTTTTTTTAGCAAAAGCAATGTGATTGACTATGTCAGATCTAATTAGATCATCATTGATTTTACCTCAAAACATGCCTGACAATGAACTTGTGCTGGGAGTCAGAGAAACATCAGTTCAGCCATTTTCCGTGCCCACTTGGGCTCACTATACTGAGTATAGTCTTCAGGCAGAGGTTTCTTTGCAGGACACTTTTAAAACCACATATCCATCATGAAGGTTTATTTAGTTAAATAAGGGTGGTATAATCAATAAATCCATTGCAAAAGCTCACAACAGCTGAACATAAATGAAGGAGTGAGGGAACCACCCCTGCCAATCCCTTAGACGGGCAGAAGGTCTTCCCCTACTGGAAGACTTTTTGAATTCAGGATATGTGACCATGTGATGTGGAATGTCAATCCACATAATAAATATTAGTAAACATGCATTTTATGTCCATAGATAAAAATAAATTCTAATAGCTTCTTCAGCTCTCTCAACAATTATCAGGTAGGTAAACCCTGGCCCATGACAAGAAACTTCTGTTTGCTGTGCAAGGTCTCCCTGACCCTCAAGCTGCTGCCTGATAGCCTCTCCAGCAAATTTCTCTCTCAGCACCCCTCTCTGCTCTCCACAGCCTTGCTCCAGTTCCCCTGTATTACTCACCATGCCCCCAATACCCTGTGCTCTCATTTCTCTGTGCACTGGCTGTGAAGAGGATGTTCGACCACACAAGGGGAAGCACTTGGCACATAATAGGTACTTAATAAATGCTTACTGATTCTCACCATGAGATGGGCAAACCAAATGGTAGTTAAACCAAAATGGTTCTTCAATTTTAGCCTGCCTCAAAGTCACCTGGAAGGCTTGTTATAACACACACATTGTTGGGCTATAGCTCAGAGTTTCTTACTTAGTGGGTCTCAGGAGGGGCGTGAAAATTTGCATTTCTAGAATTGCATTTCTATCAAATTCCCAGGTAATGCTGGGACTAGAACCACACTTCTAGAACCAATGAACTAAGTAGTCTGTTTAGCTTCTTACATTTCTAATAACTCCTAATTCCTCAATACTTTTAATAGAGACTAAATGAACAAAATAAACTTTTATCTCTATATAAATTAATACTTAACTATCATAAATGGAAGTATGGGCTCTGTAAGACTTCACATGCACAGTGTAGAGAAAAGAGCATGTAACTTGGAATCAGAAGGTCTGAGTTGGGGCGCCTGGGTGGCTCAGTTGGTTAAGCGACTGCCTTCGGCTCAGGTGATGATCCCGGAGTCCCTGGATCGAGTCCCGCATCGGGCTCCCTGCTCGGCGGGGAGTCTGCTTCTCCCTCTGACCCTCCCCCCTCTCATGTGCTCTCTCTCTCATTCTCTCTCTCTCAAATAAATAAATAAAAAATCTTAAAAAAAAAAAAGAAGGTCTGAGTTGGAATTCCACTTTGCAACTGTGTGGTCGACCTAAGGCAAGTTCATTACTGAGTCTCAATTTTTTTCTTCTGTAAAATAGGAGTGAATTAAAATAATATCTGCCCCATGGGGTTAATTGTAAGATAATATATGGAGATAATTTATAAAAGTACTGTATATATCCAATAAAATATATGCACAATGTATTAATGTACATTTAACAAGCTGAATGGAGAGATAATAAATAACACATGCTTTGAATACTTTAAATCACTAATTTTCAAAATTTCCAATCCTGGTACTAATTCCTTATTGAAAAGTATATGATCAGGGCGCCCGGGTGGCTTAGTCGTTAAGTGCCTGCCTTTGGCTCAGGTCGTGATCCCAGGGTCCTAGGATCGAGCCCCACATAGGGCGCCCTGCTCCGTGGGAAGCCTGCTTCTCCCTCTCCCACTCCCCCTGCTTGTGTTCCTGCTCTCGTTATCTCTCTCTCTCTCTCTCTGTCAAATAAATAAATAAAATCTTAAAAAAAAAGAAAGAAAAGTATATGATCTACATTTTGCTATATCATCTTATATATATATGTGTATATATATATATATATATATATATATGAGATCTACATATCTCTTATTATTAGCAGTAGTACCACTGTACTAATAAATTGGTAGTAAATACCAATAATAATAGCTGTGGTGGCCAGCTTCTATGATGGTCCCCAATGATCCTCACCTCCCAGGATTCATACCCTTGTTTACTTTCCTCCTACACTGAATCAGTGACCAACAGACTACTCTAAGGCTAAGTAATAAGAGACATTGCCACTTTCTCTCTGGTTTCTTGGCTTTCTCCACCTGGAGGATGCCATGAAGATACTTAAGCAACTCCAAGGAGAGAACCACATGGGAAAGAACTAAGGCCTCCTGCTAACAGCCAATACCTGATATACATGAGTAAGCAGCTTTGGAAGGGATCCTCCAGCCCTACTCAAGCCTTCAGATGACTGCAACCCGAGCCAATATCTGGCTGCAACCTCATAAGAGGCCACAAGATAGAAACCAAGCTACTCCCAAATGTTTGATCCACAGAAACTGTGTAATAATAAACTACTGTTGTTTTAAGCCATCAAGTTTTGAAGTGATTTGTTATGCAGTGATAGATTATGGACACAGGAGCTAACATTTACTGTGCATTTACTACATTCCAGGAACTATGCTAAGAACCAACAGCTCTATGATGTAGATGCTATTATAATCCCCAAAGAGGAAAAGGTAGCCTAGACAGGTTAAGTAATTTAGTCAAGATTCCATGATTAATAAGTGGCAGAACTGGAAGTTGAATCCAAATTTCTAACTCCAAAGCCCCGATTCTTGGTCACTCATTTGTATGGGCAGGATAAAGCCTCTTGGGGTTAAGCAGCAGAAGCAACTGAGCCCCCAGAGGAGAGAAACTTCTATAAAATCAGCAAGGGGCAGTCGAGGGGCCAGACCTTCAATAGCACTGGTACTTGATGTCATAAGACCCAGAAGTTCCAAACTGGCACCCACCTCCCAGCCCTTATACTAGCAGACTTGTCACCCCCTGAGATGCCCAGGACTCACCCAGATCTGCAGCTTCACTCGTTTTTCATGGCGGTAGACTGTCTTCACCTTGAAGTCAATGCCCACAGTGCTGACGAATGCTGGGGTAAAGGTGTCGTCAGCATAGCGGAAGAGGAAGGAAGTTTTGCCAACGCTGCTGTTGCCGATGATGAGCAGTTTGAACATGTAGTCAAAATTCTGGTCGGAAGCATCTTTGACTCCAGCTTTACTATCAGTCACTGAAGCCATCTGTAGGAGACACCTGTGGTCACTCAGGAACACACCTCCAGGTCACCAATCTTTAATGGTCACTCCACCCTTCACACACATACTCTCCACCCAAGCATCACTGAAGAAACACACACACCACAGAATCACCCCAGTACTGCACCTGCTCCAAATGTTGTCTCAGGATTGGGGTGGAACCCGGTTCCTCCCACTCATTCCTTCTGCAAATATTTACTGAGCATGTTGCTCTGGGTCAAGCCCTGTGCTGGGTATAGGGACTACAAATATGAATCAGACATGGTGTATGACCTCTGAGTGGCCACAGATTAGAGTGAAAAAGCATGTAAACATGGGGTAACAAGTCAGTAGGTAAGTCATAAGATGGAGGGAAGCCTTGGCCCAGGAAGTCCACAAGAAACATCGGACATCTAACCCCCAGTTTGAAGGCATGATGGTCAAGGAGAGTCTCCCACAGGAGGCAGCTCCTGAGCCGAGTTTTGAAAAGAAAAAGCCAAAACAGTAAACACATGAACATTCCAGGAAAGGCTCAGCACAGGGCTATCATTCCCATTTCAAAAACATTCATGACTCCCCATGGCTCTAAAGATCAAGCCCGAACTGTTTAACTTGACAAAGAACCAACCAACCAAAGAATAAACTCTCTAAACTTTATCCTCCCCTAAGCCTTCTCCCTACCAACCTGTGCCACTTTTATATCAAATTACACTTTAAATATGCCACATTATTTCTTGCTTTGTCCCTTTAGACATGTATTCTTTCTGTTCACAACACTCTTCTAATAAACTCCTCTTCATCCTTATAGACCCAAACGCAGTCTCACCTTCCCCGTGCCTGGCAGAGGTACACATGCCCTCCTGCCTCTATGCCCCCCGGGCACCCCGCTCACAGCACTGGTATCATTTCACAACTGTTTACTATTCCAGCTCCTCCTTCAGACCAAGCATCTGGGACTAATGTACTTCATTTCTCCATCTCTAGCCTCTAGCGCAAGTCCTAGTACATAATCAGCACTCAGTAAATGCGTGCTGGATTAATAAAAGTTACTTCATCCCTCTGGGACTCAATCTCATCATCTGGAAAATGGAAAGGACGATTTCTGCCCTGCTTTCCTTACAGGGCTGTTACAGGACTCAAATGAGATAACAATAAGTAAGACCTTAATAAACTGGTAAATCCCATACAGCTGTGAACATAAGTCTTTATTGTTCCAAATCCCTTAAAGCCTCGATCCTTTATTTATTCGCTCACTCATCCATTCAGCAAGTATTTATTTATGTGCCAGGCCTTCCCTGAGATCCCAGCTCTCTCAAACCTGCCACCTTTCCCAGAACACTTTGTATCTGAACCCCATAATCCAGCACTCAGTCCCACAGTCCTATTGGAGTAGCAGGTGCCCTACTTCCCTGCCTGCAATCTCTCCTTATGCTCAGCACTGGGTTCTTGGACAGGTGTGTTAAGTGATCAGAAGAGGGTGGGAGGACAGCCCTCACATGAGATAATGTCCAGGGTGTCACTCTCTTTAGAAATTCCTGTTTTAGAAGGAAATAGTCAACAAAACCAAAAAATAACAGTCAGAATGGGAGCAGATATTTGCAAATGACGTATCAGATAAAGAGCTAGTATCCAAAATCTATAAAGAACTTATCAAACTCAACACCCAAAGAACAAATAATCCAATCAAGAAATGGGCAGAAGATATGAACAGACATTTCTCCAAAGAAGACATACAAATGGCCAACAGATACATGAAAAAATGCACAATATCACTCATCACAATGATACCACCTCACACCAGTCAGAATGGCTAAAATTAACAAGTCAGGGAATGACAGATGTTGGCGGGGATGCAGAGAAAGGGGAACCCTCCTACACTGTTGGTGGGAATGCAAGCTGGTGCAGTCACTCTGGAAAACAGTATGGAGCTTCCTCAAAGAGTTGAAATTAGAGCTATTCTACAACCCAGCAATTGCACTACTGGGTATTTACCCCAAAGATACAAATGTAGTGATCCGAAGGGACACCTGCACCACAATGTTTATAGCAGTAATGTCCACAATAGCCAAACTATGGAAAGAGCCCAGATGTCCATCGACATGAATGGATAAAGATGTGGTATATATACATAGTGGAATACTACTCAGCCATCAAAAAATGAAATCTTGCCATTTGCAACTATGAGGATGGAAATAGAGGGTGTTATACTAAGCAAAATAAGCCAGTCAGAGAAGATAATTATCATATGATCTCGCTGAGATGTGGAATTTAAGAAACAAAACAGAGGATCAAAGGGGAAGAGAGGAAAAAAAATAAAACAAGATGAAATCAGAGAGGGAGACAAACCAGAGACTCTTAATAGGAAACAAACTGAGGGCTGCTGGAGGGGAGAGGGTGGGGGGATGGGGTAACTGAATGAAGGACATTAAGGAGGGCATGTGATGTAAGGAGCACTGGGTATTATTTGCAACTGATTAATCACTGATCTCTACCTCTGAACCTGATAATACATTATAGGCTAATTAATTGAATTTAAATTTAAAAAATTTTTAATTAAAAAGAAAAAAGAAATTCCTGTTTTTGTTCCTCAAAGGAAAAGAAAGAGATTTTGACTGGTGGATTTAGCTCTATACGCCTCTCAGATGAGCTGTAAGGACAAGGAACTGACAAATGCAGAAAGTTTAAAGCTCTCTTGAAGAAAGGTCAAATATGTAGGATTATTAACAGCCCTTTAATGATGTAGGAAAGACGTTAGGTTTTGAAGCCGACGGCCAAGAAAGAATTCTTGAGACGTCTTTGGTGCAAAAAAGTGATTTTATTAAAGCACGGGGACAGGACCGGTGGGCAGAAAGAGTTGCTGCACCGGGGTTATGAGGGGTGGCTGATTATATATTATGGGGTTGGGGAGGTAAGGAAAAGGGAGGTTTCAAAAGAACTTTCATATGCTAAAGAGGACCTACAAGATAATGGAGGCCTTGCCCTTGTCAAGTTAAGGTTGTTTTCCCCTCTAGCAAGGTATTAACATTGATAGTTGGGAGATTCCTGAAAGAATCTCACACTGTCCCACCCAGGAGTGGGGGGGTGGGGTGAGGTTGCAGGGTGTCAGCTTGTGCTTTGTCTTCAGCCAACCTTCTGCTCTCTCATCAAGAGAGGACTGGGGAGAGGTCGGGTTCAGTGGGGCTTTTGCCCTTAGCAAGGTGTCGACATTGACTTAGAGGCAGTTGAGCCCCTTGAGGAATGGCACTCTGCCTGTTTCAAGGACTTATCAATGGGCTGCAGGTAGTAAATAATTTTTCTTCTGCCTTTGTTTCCCACATCATTTAATATGCCACCAGTAGCCTCCGGTGGCCTCTGTTCTTCTTTCTCTTTTCTCCCAGCTCTCAAGCCTTTATCTGAGACCCTCAGTCCCATTCCTGTACCAATCTGCCCCATGACAACACTCACTAGTGGGTGTGGAAAATGCCCAGGACACTTGGACATGTGGAAGATGTACCATCTGTTTTTAAATTATATTTTATTAGTTGTTGATTTAAAAAGTAATACATACATTGAAAATAATTCAAACTTTCACTGTTTACAAGCGTTATCACCATCTGTAGCTGGCATTATTTTCTTAATTTTTTCCGTAAAAAATAAGTAATATGTAACCTAAAGGTTTATAGTGTAAAGTTAGTGCTTTCAACCCTGATTCCCAGCCTCTGTTCCTCTCCCCAGAGGCAAATATGTTACCAATGTATGTATCCTTCAGGGTTAGTCTTTGTATATATAAACATAGAGGTCTGTTTATACTTTTTATCTATATCTATATGTCTATTATCTTCTATGTATATTTTAATAGCTGAGATCACACTTTCCATTAGTTTTGTATCCTGCTTCTTTTCACTTAACATTATACCATAAATATTTTTTCTGAGATTTTTAAAACTCTTCACAAATATCATTTCAATTGACTACATTCTATTCCATCCTATGGATGTGTCATAGGACCAATTCTTTAATATTGTATCTTTATTTTTCTATTTTTAATTATTATAAATTAAATCAGAGTGGTGTTGGGGTGCCTGGGTGGCTGCCTTCAGCTCAGGTCATGATCCCTGGGTCCTGGGATCGAGCCCCACATCTGGCTCCCTGCTCAGTGGAGAGCCTGCTTCTCCCTCTCTCTCTTCCTGCCTCTCTGCCTACTTGTGCTTTCTCTCTGTGTGTCAAATAAATAAATAAAATCTTAAAAAAAAAAAATCAGAGTGGTCATGTCTTTCCATAAATACTTGCTCAGTTTCCTATTTATCTCCTTAAGAAAGATCCCTAGAAATGGAACTGCTGGTTAAATAACCAGCAGTCATTTAAAGTTAAATAACTTAGTTATTTAACCAAGTTAAATAACAGCAATTATAAATAAATAAAGTTTCTGTAACTTTACTGAAACAGATTGGCTCCTTACCTAATTTCACATCCTCTATCTCATTTAATCCTCTAAACCTGGGAGATAAAATTAGATGGGCAAATATTATTATTCCCATTTAATCAAGAAACTGAGGACCAGAAATTAAGGATTTGCTCAAGCCTCAAAGCCAACAGTTGAGACTAGACCTAGTCTCTTTCATTATAGGAAAGTTCAAAATCCCTGTTCTAGTCCTCAGCTGAATTTTTGGGCAAGTCATATCACCTCTCTAAGTCACAGCATTTTTACTTCAGAGAAAAATACCACCTACTTCACGGAGTTGGGGTACAAACAGAATGAGCAGTTGCCATATGTAATTAATCTAGCATGGTTTCTTGGCCCATGAGAGGTATGCAATAAATATTATTTCACTGGCCCCTTTAATTCACTTCTGTAGTCAAATCTTGTTCAACTGCTTTTTCCCTAATCTGGACTACATTATTGGAACTTGTTTTACAATTAGCTGTCTGCCTCCTCTTCTGGATCCATCTGAGTTTTATCCATCCTTACACTCTGACAACACTGGACCTGTAGCAAATCTTTAGGGCATGTTACTCCTTTCAATAAA